CAAGAAACTTCCTGGGGAGTACTTTTGGGGCCAACATTTTTGTGGAAGCATAGGAAGAAGGATTGGGCAGAAGGAGAAGTTAGGCTGTGATTTAGTCTCCTCGTAGCCTCAGCCAACTCCTTGGGGGCTCAGAAGTTGGGATGGCCCTTCAAAGTTGTCCTGAATTGGGATGAGGAGACCATTATTAACCTCATGTACTGACCAGTCATTTTATGGGGCTGTGTTGATGAGTGGTGCAGCTATCTTCAGCTGAAGGTAATTCCAGGAGAGGGCTTGAGGGCTATCTGCCAGCTACACTTCTAGCAGCTGGAGAATAAACCTTTCTGTCCTGAGAGGGGTCTGGGTACCCATCACAGAGCCCACTGTAACAGTCAACTAACAAATGTAATTTCAACGGTATGTCTGAGACAGTGACAGACTTTTGCATCATTTTTTTCCCCATTGATTGAAAGAGGGAGTTAGAGAGCAGGAAGTTAGAGAGTAGGTGTGTGGGACCACATCCGACAGGATTGTAGAGAAAGGTAAGGGGCTGAGGGAGAGGAAAAAATCCTCTGATTCCATGATTGCATCTGGGTTTTGCTTCTATTCAGCCGTGAAGAAACGGAAGCAGAAGGCTGAATTTTCTTTTTATTATATGTTATTGGTGTGTTTTGTCCTTCAGAAGCTTAGCAGAGATCTCATCTAAGCCTCCAACACTAGTGTAACTTTGCATGGTTTGAGAAGATTTTTAAATCTAAATAAAAAACCTTTATTTTCAAAGCGTTCTTATTTGAGGTGCCATTTTGCTGAAGTTCACTAATAGTGTCAGTGGCATTTATTTATTACTGCGGTATGTTGGGTTCTCCAGGATGCACACTCTGAGATACTGTTCCTTATTTAGGACGTGCATTAGGGAGTTCCCATGGGGTCAGACCTTGGAAGAGAGGTGGCAGAAGCAGGCTGGCAGGGGGAGGAGTCCAGCCGTGATGTAGACCCATCCTGGCAGCCTCATCTGACTCCGCAGGGAGCTCTGGAGCTGAAAAGACCTGGCAGAGATGTCTTGCATGGACCATAATTTCCAATCCTTTTTATCTGGATCAGATATTGGATGTGGGCGGTCCCTGGAAGGGTAAGATTTTAGGCGAGGGGTTCTCTGTGGCCGAAGCTGAGTCAGTTCCCAAAGGGACTGACAGCAAAGGCTGCACAGTCCATAGCTCGGGCTGTCAGATCTTCCTAGCACTTTCTCAATGTCACATGGCTCCTAAGTGGTAAGGAATCTAGGATTTCTGACTCCTACTTAGGAGAGTTTCCCTCTTTCACATCCTTCCTCTCACTTCATGTGACTGTGCAGCGGGGCCAGCACCAAGCTTGCCAATGTGCTCTCTAGGCCTTGTTCTTGGCAGCAGTGGCTGAGTGATGTGGACTTCATGTGAAAGTAATATTTTTGAAAAACCTCAGGTGGCCTAGGTTTAGCAGAGTAAGTTCCAGGATTGGCTGAGGCAAAGCATTCCTGGCTTGGAGTCATCGCTAATTCACCAAGTTCTCCCAGACAATTTATTACAAATCTGAAGGGACACAGAACTGGCCAGCTTGCTTCCCATTTTTGTTCATTTCCAGGGTGAACGCTGAGTTTGGCGTCTCACTGGCTCTCTTTGCTGCCTGAGTATGTCACTATTGATCTAAAAATAGCCTGAATCCTACTAGGGTCAATGTGGGTTGACTAGGGTTCAACTTCTCTGGAGCTCTGAGGAGGTTCAAGAGGAGGAGGAAGGGAATCACTAAAGAGAAGAATAGATTTTATTTGGGGTTAGCATGGTGGCTTTGTGTGAGCTGTGAAAAACAAGAGTGATTGCTTCGGGAAGGCCAGGTTAACACAGAAGAGGTTACTTGTTAACTTTTAAGAGAGCACGGAGCTATTAAACGGCTGTGTTGGCACCACTGGAGAGAGAGAATGATCGATGGCTGAGGACGCAGCGCAGAGGTAAAGCAAAGAACATGGTCCAGAAATCAAAAGCTCTGGATTCTTGTTCTGATTGTGCTACTTGCTAGAATGTACCTTTGGGTCAAAGTTTTCGTCTCTCTTGCTTTTAGTTTCTGAATCTTTAAAACGGTTCTGATTATGTCTAATTTGCCTTGTTCCTTGGGTCATTACAGGGAACAAATGAAAGCATGGATGTAAATGTGTGACGCCCTGCATAAAAAAGAATGAATTTCTTAGAACCTCTCGCATAAATTCCAGAGCTTTGGGCAATTCTTTGGAGTCTGAGATATATGTGAAATGGATAGTAGAGTTTGGAAGATCATGCATTGTGGAGGTCTCAATTATCATGGGAAGCATGGGTTGGAAGAAGAAAACTAGTTTAGTCTAGTTCTTTTTTTTTTTGAGATTCCAGGCGTCTTGGCTCATCTATTCCTTTGGAAGTCCTCTTGAAATTTATTACAGAATTCACTGGGGCTTTATAGGTGGCTTGAGTCTGGTGCTGTCTCAACTCTTAGACAAAATGAAGTTCCCTCAAAGCAACTGAAAGTTCAGGAAATGAGTCAGGATGACTAAGAGTTGCTAGTGGTGCAACATGACATTGGATCCAACAAAAATATATTCTTGGTGTAGGAATTTGTTAAGGTTTGAGAACAAACTCACGTATCTTGTGAAAACTCAGTCAAGTAATAATGATATTCCAGAATGAAAATTCTCTGCAAATTCCCGATGAAGACCCATGTATGAGAAGACCATAATACTTCATGGAAGAGAACAGAAACAGGACTCATGTGGTTTATTGCAGTAGCCTTCTTCCCCGTCTTACTCTGTCTAGTTTCTCCTGTTTCAATCCATTTTTTACACTGTCAAAAGAGTTACTTTTCTGGCCGGGAGTGGTGGCTCACGCCTGTAATCCTAGCACTCTGGGAGGCTGAGGTGGGTGGATCGCTCAAGGTCAGGAGTTCGAGACCAGCCTGAGCAAGAGCCAGACCCCGTCTCTACTAAAAGTACAAAGAAATTATCTGGACAACTAAAAAGATATATATAGAAAAAATTAGCTGGGCATGGTGGCGCATGCCTGTAGTCCCAGCTACTCGGGAGGCTGAGGCAGGAGGATCGCTTTGAGCCCAGGAGTTTGAGGTTGCTGTGAGCTAGGCTGACGCCACAGCACTCTAGCCAGGGCAACAGAGCAAGACTCTGTCTCAAAAAAAAAAAAAAAAAAGAGTTATGTTTCTAAATCTGCTTGTGTCGCTCTCCCTGCTTAACTCCGCTGCCTTAAGACTAAGGTCCAAACTCCTCAGCCTGACATATACCAGCATCTAGAGCAAGGATCTTGTCTACCATGCCCACATTAATTAGGATGATTTCTAGCACATAGTAAGTACCCAGTAAATACTCATTTATGAATTAATAAAGGACATTCATGATTTGGTCTTAATCCACCCTTCTAGTTACCTTTCCTAATCGTCTCCCCTAGCTCCACCTGTCCACTTGGACAGGTTGCCCACTGTTCCCCAAATTAGTTTGGTTATCTCAATCTATGTTTCTGACATACTTTTCTTGCTGCCTGTAATACCTTCCCTTATCACCTGCGTGTCTGAAAAACATTCTATTGATTTCTTTAATACTCAGCTGAACTGTCACCATTTCAATGATGCCTTTCCTGACCCTCACTGTTTCTCTACATTGTCATTCTACTTTGTTCTACAGTGCTCACACTTTGTATGCTGCAGAGTGATTGTTTCCATGTCTGTCTCCCTCACAAGCTCTTGTGTTTATTCATTTTTGTATCATCTAGTTCCTGGACATAATAGATGCTTAATTAATGTGTGCTGAATAATCAAATGGATATATTTTATGATGAACCAGATAGCTTAATGATTTGTTAACCATGTTCTCTCTGTGGTCCATAACTGAAGAACTAGAAGGAAGAATGAAAGGTCAAATGGTAGATGCCAAAAAATATTCCTTTGGGTTTGAATTTTCAAGATGAGAACAAGTGACATGTTTCACTGTCACAAATCTTATAGGCTTAACTACTTATCACAAACTTAAACTCTGGTGCTAATAAGGTTTCTTCTTCTTCTTCTTCTTTTAAAGGCTGGTCAAGTGAAGCAGTGGGATAAGGTTTGTTCTTCCTACAAAATATCTTCTTTCATTTTGGAGAAAACTCTCTTCTGAGGGTATTGACTATATTGCCACCAAGTTCTGATTCAATATTTTACACATTGCCAAAGTAGACTAGTTGAAAGAAGGTGATAATTCAGTACATTAAAAAAAATTTCTATTAGAAAAACAATTTAAAGTGTTTGTATATTGGGAGGTAGGACTTTGTGTAAAGGACTAGATTATATAAGATAAGGACTCAAAAAATAACATGATTCAATGATTACATTGAATACTGTGTAATGTGTCATTTAGTGATTATATTCAGTACTGTGTCATAATCATGATTTTAACATGATTTATAATAATATTAGGTACCGTGTCAAACACAATCAAAATTGTTTGACACGGTACCTAATACAATAAAATACAATAAAATACTCAATGTCACTATTAAATTGCCTTGAAAATGAATTCTTATTTGTTTGGATCTTTATTAGGGAGGGATACTTATGCTGGATGGTAAAAATAATGGCATAGTGCTAAGTTAGGCAAAGCCCTGGAGAATACTTTTTCTTTCTTTCTTTTTGTATATTGACCTTTTTTTTTATATATGACCTTTATCCACCAGACTGGAAATAATGTCTGTACGAAACCAAATGTTTGTTACTGTAACTTCTGCATCACAAATTAAAATACAAACAGTTTTTTTAAAAAGAGTCAACTCAATCAAAACTCACTACTTTGGAATCCATAGCTTCTTTGAAGCCACAGTAACACTTAAATATGGTTGAGACTTGAATGTGGAAATCTGGTTGGTTGGAAAGCTAATTAAACTTCCAACTTGCTCAAATAGAGTTCCAAAAAGGCAAAATTGTGTTTTTCCCAGCGATACAGTCCACTGAAGTCACCAGCACTGGACAGCTGTTAAGAGTATTTAGAGTCCTGAGATAATGAGGAAACCAGGCATCCCGACAGTCTTCTGTTGACCTTTCTTCCCACAGAATTGCGATGTGTGGAATGACACCACCACCAGCAATCATAGCCTTGAGGAGAGAGTCCAATGCTTCATCTCCATGAACAGCAAGTTGCGAGTGACAAGGGGCAATAACTTTAACTCTTTGGTGCACTTCCTGCCAGTTGAAGCACCTCTGTGACGAAGTACAGGATGGCTGCACCGCGCCCACACGTCCATGATTGATAGACCTGGATTTCTCACCCTCAACTGCAAGCCAGCTCTCTGAGAGCGAGAATCGGCATTTGTCTTGGCCTTTCCGGAGTCCTTCCCAGCCTTACCGCCAGCCATCTCGAATCCAGCTGAAGCTCAAACAAGCAAGGCAGAGAAAGGGCTAACTCAGACACACAGCGAGATCCCACCGCCTACTCCTTTGTTGCATCGCAATTCAAACTGCCCATTTTTCCTTTCATTTCTATTTGCCATGTTCCATGTTTACTGTCTTAAATAGCTCTTTAATTGGCTGGAACCATTTTAAAGATAGCCAGGACACAGCATCGACTAGTTGTTTGTTAGCATTATGAGAGGTGGGGACAAAACAGAATGTTCTGGATCCTCAGCAATATTGTGTTAAGCCCATTTTAAGGGCTGAATACCACACGTTATGCCAAATCACCATGTTGAGGCTATTGTGGGATGTTTGCAGGGGGTTTAAAACTAAGTCATTTACTCTTTTACCATCTCTCTGGCTAGTTATATAGTGAGAGCATAGTTGATTCCTAGTTCTCTCAAAGTAGATTGTCCCAAGCCTACTGTTCCACTCTCAGTTTTCCTGTCCTCGTCAGTGTACTTGTATATAGGTTCTGGATTATCTATGTATTGTGAGTTCTCTGTGCCAAAGGAACCCATCTCTGTTATGAATGCTTGAAGGTTGACCGTATTCTCTGTTCCATCTTTTGTTTCTGTCATCACAATTAGTACACTCTGCTTAATAAAAAAAAGAGGACACTTACCATTTCTGAAATACTTGTTAGGAGCTTCTGCATATATCACCGAATTTAATTCACACAAAAGTCTTAGGAGGTGAGTATTGTAATTTCCATTTTGTAAAAGAGAAAATGGGCTAAGAAAGATCTTTTTATTTGGAAGACCACATTAGCGGTATCTGTTCATTCACCAAATGTTCACTGAGCTCAGTGCAAGACAGTGAGTTTATAATTGCCAAAAAAGAAGTCCTTGCCTTCATGGAGCTTATATTCTAGTGGTATCTCAGTTATAGAGCCTTTGACTTTAAGACTGACGTGTAGTTGAGCAACCCACACTGTAAGATCCTTGAAAGTAGGGCCCATCGGCAGGGACTGTATTAATTCAGTCCCTGAATTGAATGGAATTCTGGCAGTGAAGATTTATTCCTACCTATCTGCCATCTGTTGTTCTCTCCTTACTGGATGTTTGAAAAGGTGGATACCTATGCAGGGGTAGAATAGATAGGTAGCCCCCCTAAGCTGATTTCTTTCAGTGACTTTGCCCAAAATTCATATCAGGTGGTTATGTAGCTGAAATTTCTCTAATTTCTGGCTCCCTCTAATAAACTTCAAATGTATGTGGTTTATGAAACATGTAATCTAGTAAATTGTCATTGATATCTCAGCACAAATTAGTTTATTGGCTAGAGGAGACCAGGTTGAAGCATATTCCAGAAAGCAGAAGTCCAGGTAGGTTGTTCTGACTGGGCTATTTCTTTTTTCTTTTTTTTTTGAGACAGAGTCTCGCTTTGTTGCCCTGGCTAGAGTGAGTGCCATGGCGTCAGCCTAGCTCACAGCAACCTCAAACTCCTGGGCTCAAGCAATCCTTCTGCCTCAGCCTCCCGAGTAGCTGGGACTACAGGCATGCGCCAGCATGCCCGGCTAATTTTTTCTATATATATTTTTAGTTGTCCAGATAATTTCTTTGTACTTTTAGTAGAGACGAGGTCTCGCTCTTGCTCAGGCTGGTCTCGAACTCCTGACCTTGAGCGATCCACCCACCTCAGCCTCCCAGAGTGCTAGGATTACAGGCGTGAGCCACAGCTCCCGGCCTCTTTTTTCTTCTAAGGAAGCCAGGTATAGTCTAAGTAATCAGGGTGAATCACAAAGCCTAGGGCAGTGGGGGTGAGATGTTTGTGAAGGCCTAGACAAAGTGTTATGGAGCTTTGGGTGATGTGTAGGAAGTGTGTGTATGTGTGTGTGTGTGTGTGTGTGTGTGTGTGTGTGTGTGTTTCACAGCTTTGCCTAAAGCACAGTTCATATCCAAGTGTTGTCATTTGTAATTACAAAAAAAAATAGCACGACAGTTAAACTCGGTTTCTTTTTGGATTTTGGATGTTGAAAGACTGTATGATTTATGTAGTGCTTTCATTTCATGGGACGCCATTATAGTTCTTGTGTTAGGTTGAGTCAGCGATGTGTTAGAAGGCCAGAACTACATGTTATGCATTACCTAAGAGCATACTCCTAATCATGTATTGCCTCGAGAGTACCTGCTTCTCCATGGTGCCTGTCTTTCCCTTAAAAAGGAATTTAGGGAAGAAATGGAGCAAATGATGTTTTATGGATGTTGTTGCTTCATCTAAGCTGCTGGAATAACTTTGTGGTCTTAATTGAAAACCTATTACAGAGAAGGGATCCTTAGAGGGGGGAAATGAGAGGGTTCCACACAGCCAGCTAAATGAGAATGTGATTTTTAATGACTGTTAAAACAAGGCTGAAGACAATAAGGATTTTAATATTTTTGAAAAGTAGTCTGCAAATCCAATTCGAGGGGAGAAAAGATTTCTCATTTTCTTATTTTTAGAGCCAGAAGGATTTCCAGCTGCATGTAATTTCAGGAAGTGATGTGACTATTTATTCAATAATGCTTTGCAAATTTCCTGGGAAATGATGGAATAATTCTGATTAAATTAAAATGCCTATTGAAATATATGTCATACTATTTGCCAAGTATTATTTCTTGTCTCTTTAGCCATATTAATTCATTTTAAAATGAAAGTAAACTCTTAGTGAATACTTTATATAGGCATATTTTCTAGGAGTGAAAATATAGTATCAAAATCCAGATCGCAAAAGCCAACCAAATTAAATAAATATTTAGTGAGTGCCTACTATGTGCCATGCATGAAGGTAGTGTATTGGGAAAACTAAAATAAACTTTTTCATGTTTTCTGAACTCATGGAGTTTAACGTCTGGCAAGAGAGACAGATGTTGAAACAATAGGGTACTTGGACACATAAAATTACGGCATTGGTAAGAGGTAATGCAGGAAAGGCATGCGGTGCTGCAGTGGCATCTGGGCATTCATGGAAGGCTTCTCATAGAAGTGGCATTAAAGCTGAGACCCAAAGAATGAACAAGAATGAGCTAGGTAAAGAGTAAGGGCACGAGTCTTCGAGGATGGCAGGCAGCATCTTCAAAAGCCTGTGCTGGAGGGGAGCAGTACAGAGAATGGGGTGGGGTGGGGACGTGTGGTACAAAGTCGGCTGGAGAATCAGGGGTTAAACCCTGTGAGGCTTGTAGATCATGTGAAAAATCTTGGTCTCTATTTTAAGAGCAGTGAGATGCTATGAAGGGATTTTAATAGCTGGGGTGACACTGGGGTGAAGGGTGATACAATCACGTCCCTGCTTTGGAAATATTTCTCTGGCTGCAACGCGGAAGACGGATTACAGCGGTCCCGAGTGCAGGTAGCAATGCACTTGCGAGGCTCCTGTGGAAGTCCAGAGGAGAAAGAATGTCAGCTAAGGCTATGGATGTGGACATGCTTTATGGTTTGGTTTAAAGTGAATTCACAATACTTTCACCCTAGATTCACATCTGTGCTCACACCAACATATACACGCAAAGCTGATGGTTTCCTCAGGGGCCAATCCTTGGTCGTCTTTTCTTGTTCTACGTCAGGGAAGCCAGATGGGTTTTTAACTCAAGTGCCAACTCTGGTTGGTTTGCAGTGGAAGTTGGAAGAGCAATACTGAGAAGGCTTTTGCAGTCACCTTTGGGTCCAGCAGCAAAGAACACTCCCATAGCTTTATGGCGCCTTCCATGGGTATAGGGCTGGGTGCATGGCGTGTGTGCCTTCGCAGAGCCTTTGCAGAGCCTTTCTGGTTCACGTTCTCCATGGTAGACTTCCCATCTTTCTCCAAGGGCAGGAGTGGTGCTTGCCTCAGCCCTCATACCCATTTTCATAGATACTCTGCCTCTACTTCCTATGCTTTTCTGGGATTCTGGACTGTGACACCCTGGGTCATATTTGTTCTTCCTCTGACTGTGCTCAGCTTTCTCCGACCTATTAAATCAGTTACCATTCATCCATTTGCTTTCCATCTTCTAAAATTTTGTTAACATCTCTCATGTGCTGTTATTTTCCTTCTATTCCTGTTGTCCTATGGATCACTGTGTTTTTATTTATTAATTATTCCCTTCTAGTCCATTCATAGTAGCGGGGTTTTGTTTATTCAGTTTTCTGTTTGTTCGGTTGACCATGCTTAACTGAAACTTGCGCCGTGGTTTTCTAATTACGCTCTTTGGTATATGCTTATATATCTTTAACTCAAGGGATATTCAAGCATCGGAGAGAATATAGTGAATAATTTACAACATGTATTTATTAGGAAAAGTGGCTTGAGGCATGATTAAAGTCTCCCAGGCTTTGGTGGGTGTTTCCAGCTCCGTCACTCTCCACACCGCCACAAGTGCACTATCATTCAGTTGCACCGACCTACCTATAGTTTATCACTTTGCCACAATTTTCTAAGGGCTATTTATTGTTGATTATGTTTTCTGAGCTTGGAATTCCCTTCACCTTAGCTAAAACCTTCTGACTCTTTAAAACTTGATTTAAGTGCCTTTTATTCTGGAAGCCTTTCCCTACCCAACCGCAAGGTGCAATTCATACACTCTCTCTATCGCTCATCTGAAGGGCTCCTCTGGACTCTCATAATGTCTTTTGCTTTCTCAATTATAATATTTATCACCATATCACAATATTGGACTTTCTTATTTATTTTATAAAGTAGACTGAGCCCCTTGAGGACAAGCTCTGTGTTTACTGGTGCTCTATTTCTATTACCAGTATTACAAAGTAGGCACCGAATACCCTGCTTGTTGAATTAATGATGCCATGTAACCCTACTCCTAGAAGTGGGCTTCGAGTGTTTTCCTTATTTTATTTTAGGAAGTCTTTTTTACCGAGATGTTTTCTTCATAGTTGCAAAGACTCTATGACCTATAGTGATCAGGAACCTATCTGCAGAGAATACATGTATATGTAGAACATGAAGTTACCAAGGGTCAAATGCATGTGCATATTACTGGTTGTGGCAAAGGGTAGCTTAGGAGCCTTGTGAGCACAATCTAGAAATTCTCAGTGGTATATACTTCAGGTGAAGTACATTTTATGTTGAAGCAAGTGGTTAATTA